TCCTCCTCCCTCCCTCCCCGCCCCATTGCAACCATGAGAAGGTAGCAGGATCTGATCCTAGGAGGAGCAACAAGCCTTGCAAAAAAAAAAAGGGGGGGGGAGAAAAAGAAAGATTTGGAAAATCAGCAACAACAGGAAAAAATTTAAAAAAGGGGGAGGGAGAAAAGACGCTTTCCCTATTTGATTGGGGGGTGGTGTGGGTGCAATCCTGCATGCAATCCCCCCCCTTTTTTTTGCAAAAACCTTTGCAAGACTCTCCACCTTCTTTCCCCCACCCTGGGGTGGCTGGGGGCCAGGCAGGGGAAAAAAGGGTGCCTGGACCCCCCCACCCCTCCACCCCAGAGCTTGATCAGGATCCCACCCTCCACGGCTGGCCTCCTCTTCCTCCTTTAAGCTGGACCTCCTGGAACCATGAGCTGGGGGACAGAGCTGTGGGTAAGTGGCAACCCCCCCTCCCAATATGTGTGTGTGTGTTGGGGGGGGGAAATAAGACCTGATGGTGTGTGTGGTTTTTTTTTTGGGGGGGATGATATGAGAGACAGCCTGGATTGGCTGGGGTGGGTGGGTTTGGTGTGTATATATACAGTATATCCATATATATCCATATATATTTGGGTCTGGTGTACATCTCTATACATTTGCATGTATCAACAGGGAAGGGGGCAAAGAGCTGGCCGGATTCTGCAGGCATGCGCCTGCCTTCCGCTGGAGACCCGCTTTGTGAAATTGGTAGGAAAGTGCGCCTTGCAAAAAATAAAATAAAATCCTAAATTAAAATAAAACCAGCCACCCCAGGTTTTTCCCATCTTGGGTACCTTATCCGCCTCCTGGGGGGGGGAATAACGGTCTGCGAGCTAAAGGATTTTTCCCTTTTTGGTGGGATCTGGGATTTCCCTCTGCAGTGTGGATGGAGGAGATGCCTCCCCCACCCCCTTTTCCTCCCCTCTTTCCCCCCCTCAAAGGCCAGCCTGAAATGCTGGCTATGCACGGGATTCGGCATGGGGGGGGGGAAATAAAGAGAGTTTGTGGACGAAGGGGCCTTGGCCGGGCACAGAAGATATACATATAGTTATCAGAATTATATATGCAAAGTAATAAACAATTGTCTTCTGGGGGGAGGCTATCTATCTATCTATCTATCTATCTATCTATCTATCTATCTATCTATCTATCTATCTATCTATCATCCACAAGCTTATAATTATACATTTAAAGTGATAAAGTGAAATCTATCTAAAAATCTCTATTTTCCTTCCTTATCTATCTATCTATCTATCTATCTATCTATCTATCATCGTTTTTGAATCTCTAGTAAAAGAGGAGGGTGTGTGTTTTTTGCTAGGGAAAAAAAAGGGCGATGCTGACTGAGGTTTCCTGTTTTAAATTTGTATTTCTCCACTCAGAGGAAGGAAGTACGATGGCGTTTGTGTGTGTATGTGTGTGCTTCGTTGTTGTGATAACCCCAGACTGCAATTTAGAGAAGGGAGGGGGTGGAGGGGGAGAAATGAGAAAGACAGACCGCAAAGGGATTGATGCAGGTTTATAAAAGGGAGTTTTTTGGTCCATTTATTATTATTATTATTTTTTAGGAAAGGTAAATCCGTAGCAGACCGGGAGCCGAGGGATTCGGACGGTTTCCGCCGGGAGAGGAAAAAAAAATCGGATCGGTTGTTAAAATAGATATATGGAAATGGAGTATTTTTCCGTATTTGTAGTTCTCTGTTGGTATCACAAAAGCCTTGTGTATATGCATCAATCTGATCAGCCTGTTTGTGTGTGTGTTTGTGTGTGTGTGTGTGTGATTGTCCTTTCCAGGTTTCTCTGTTTGTATATAAACCATGTTTCGGAGGTAGGGAGACCTTAGAGCGGAGGAACATATGGAAAGGGACCCACCGCACAAGTTTATTTACACAATTTTGTGAGGCTCAAGTCTCAAGATGCATCTAGGGTGTGCGTTCCAACCGTTTCAGAATAAAGCAGCCAAAATGTACCTTATAAACCGCATGCTCCTTTTGAAATTGATCCTAAAATGGATTTTCGTAGAGTTGCCACATTTTTTTGAGGTCGCGTGACAACACAGGACAACAAATAACAACAGCAAAGCTAGGGAAAATGCTAGTCAGAAATTGCAGAAGCCTCTGTCTTTAAGGCGTTCCTGGTTTTCGTGAGTGGCCTTCAAGAGGCTAGACCTGATGGAGGTTGTGTCTAAGCACTGAGCGCATTTCTCCCAGATTTCCTTCCTGACTCGGGCCGTCCTTAGACAGGTGGTTTTTCTGGAACGCCGAGACAGGTAGATACCTGACGGTAGCTCCCTCTGACACTGTTTAAAAATCATGGGCTGGTTTTAGGTGGAAAACGTACAGAGGTGTGGGTTGAGCAAGAGGCTAGACCTGATGAGGTCGTCGTAGCCTATTTCTCCAGATTTGCTTCCTGACGTAGGCTGTGCAATTTGCCATCATTAGGGGATGGCAAGACAGGTAGATATACCTGAATCTAACTCCCTCTTACAGTATATATATATATTTTTTTAAAAGGGCTGATTTTAGGTAGAAAGGATGCGGAGGTGTGGGTTCAGCGTCTCAGTGGTGTTTTGTGGAATGGCAAAGTTTCTTCCGTTGATGAGAAGTTTGGGGAATTGCGGAGGCCCCAAATAGCTTAATGACAGGGTATGAACGCCGGGCGAGGTTTCTGCCTCGGTCAGCGGGGTCAGTAAAGAGGAAACGGAGCTGGCAGAGCCAAGGAAGTATGGAGTTAGCAGGATCTGTGCTGTAAGGCTAAGAGTTGGCCCATGATGAAATGTGAAATGCAGGTGGCTGGAGTTTTTCTGCAGTGGCGTGTGATGATGGCTGCATGGTGGGGCTGGGCTGACCACCCTGTTGATTCAGCACCTTTTCCCCGACAGGACACGCTAGACGCCTGCTGTTTCAGGACAGGGACGGATTACAATGCCCGTCTCTGTCTGTTTGGAAATTCCTGCGGCGCACGCTAAATGCGAGGAGCCCCGCCATGGGCCGATGATGCGATGTCTGTTCTCCCCTTGATGGGGTTGTGGGTGCTAGCATGTACCTGCAGCATACCGCTTGGGGACCGGCGTTGCATTAAAGGCACAGGATCGGTGCGCCGGCCGGAATCAGATGCATCGCAAGTCCCGTTTCATACTGGAAATTCCCTCGGTGGAGAAGAAAATGCCAGTCGTTTTGGGCAAAGGATCTCAGAGCATAGAATGCCTTTTCCTAGAGGATAATAAGAGTGCACGCTTTTGAAATTATCAGGGGTTTAGAGCGAGAGGTTGGGAGTTCGATTCCTGCGTGGGGCCTGTTTGATAAGGGCTGGACTGGATGATCTATGAGGTCCCTTCTAGCTCTGCAGTTTTGATGTTGATGTTCATCCCTAATGAACTACTAAATAGCTCAGTGATTTAGGTCTCTGGCCGCAGAGCGAGTAGTGGGGAATTCGATTCCTGAACTACTAAATAGCTCAGTGGTTTAGGTCTCTGGACGCAGAGCGAGTAGTGGGGAATTCGATTCTCCACCGTCTTCCTGGTCAATGTGGGGAGAGTGGGATAAGGACTCAAGAGATCTGGGTTCAAAGGCTGCTCAGCCTATAGAGACTCACTGTGGATAGTAGTGCTGAAGCCTTCATCAACCTCATCATCTTAGAACTGCAGAGGTGGAAGGGAGCCGCCTAGAGTTGTCATATAGACCAGATGGGCAGGGTATAAACTAACTAACTAACTAACTAACTAACTAACTAACTAACTAACTAACTAACTAACTAACTAACTAACCAACCAACCAACCAACCAACCAACCAACCAACCAACCAACCAACCAACCAACCAACCAACCAACCAACCAACATCATCCCCCGTCCAGGAGGCTCCGTGGGGGAATCGAATTCCCAACCTCTGCGGCCAGATCCCTAAACCATTGAGCTGTCCAGCCGATCGTAACTCTACGAGGGTTGGCGTAAGTCAATAGCGGCCGGATGACGCAGAACAGTGACAGCCTTCCCCAAGATTTTACGGATTTGACCGGTAAAACAGCATCTTGATCCAAGTTGGCGGCAGGAGTGTCCAAAACCAATGAATTCTGGGCCCTCTTGGGTAGCCAGTTTTTGTTCTGGTTGTACTAGTTAACATTCCTAAAAAAAAAAACACCAAACACCTTTGTAATTTACTCTTCATTTTCCTGCAACCTCCTTCAGTGGAGAAACTGTTTTATTCCTATTTTTTTTTTGGGGGGGAGCAGCAGGGTTGACTTCCTAAGGACCGACTCCATCCATGGGGGTGTCTAAATTTCTGGTTGAAGGAGGTGGGTGTCTATGCCCGAGTCCTTCCTGGATAATAAGGGGAAAGTCTGGCTGCAGACATATTGCAAAGAAGGAAGTCGGAGGGGGGAAAAAAAGGGAAACGGTGTATTTCCACCACCTCCACCCCATAACTCAGAACTAGCCGGGGAGTAGAGGTACTCTTGAGAGTGGCTGAGCCAAAAAAAATAAAATTCAACCGGTCTTGTAGAAAAATCCAAACCGATCTTTTGTGTGTCTCTGTGTATGTTTCTCTCTCCATCACACAGTCGAAAAAGAAAGCGTCCTCTTTCGCCCTTCCTCACTTCCTTTGCAGGACCGGCCGGAGTGCAGAATTGTTTTAACTTCGGGCAAATGTTTTTATTAGCAAATTCAAAGAGTCGGAGCCCGGCGTGGCTCGTCTCTCTGTCGACGCAGGAGGTGGGCTGGCCGAACGACGAACGGGCTGAATTCTTGTTGCTTGGTGTAGTAAGTTGCAACTCGAGTCGGCCTGCAGGATCCGCGGGGATCTGAAATGTGAACTCCTTCATATATTCTGTTGATTCAGTGCCCCCCCCGTCTTTGCAACTGGCTACGCTAAGCAGCAGGACCTCAGTCATTATGGAATTCTTCATCATCATCATCATCTATCTTAGAACTGTAGAGCTGGGACGGACCCTACGGATCATAGATAGGGTCAAACCTAGGAGGCATCATGACTAAGTAGAGCTTCCAGGCTCAGCAGCAGTGTGCTGCTAAGTTTGTGCAGGCCACCCCAAACGAGGAGGAAGACAAGGATCACCATCTATACCTTGCAGACTTGCCCGCTTTTCCGTTAAGGGAAGTGGAGGCTGAATTGGACAGCGTCCTTGGCCAAAATCTGGTTTGCTAATAAAGTAGATCCATGGGATCACTGGCTCAAGGGTAAGCCAACGCTGGCAACCCCATTGATCCAGTGGATCTGTTGCGGTTGGGGGTCGGTGGGTGGGAAGCAAGTGGATTTAGCTCAATGGCTTCTCAACCAACAGGACATCTTTTGGATTTAAAGAGTTGTGTAAGTGGAGGATTCCACTGGGGGGACTGTGCCTTTTGCAACTCGCGAGTAGTAACAGAGGTGGGAGGAAAACCTGGCGAGCTCCCCGCCTCCT